TTTCTAAATTCTCAATTTTATAGAAATTCAATTATGCATTTACTTTAACCATTCATTTGTTACATATAATATTTCTAATAACAGATTAAATGTAATGAAATAAATTCGAAGTGTACACATAAATTTCCCGAGTTCTCACACAAATTTAGAGGATAATACATGTTGACTCAATGACTGACATGTGACCAGCCCACCACCAACCTATCCCCATTTCTCATCTTCCCCACTTGTTCTGCTGTTGGCTTGGCCACAAAACTGAACTGTGAAGTGAAGGGCCACCAAAAATAATGCCTTTCAATCCTCCCTAATTTCTTTTATATTTACAAGCCTTCACATTTCTACATACAAGATTCCTAGGAAAGTATAAATCGTAATTTTATTTTCCAAGTCTGTATGCCAGTTCTTACCTCAATCAGGAATTGCTTAGGCTCTATCACCAAAAGGAAATCTTTTTACAAGACCCTTTTGGGAATAAGATGTTTGAGCAATGCTCCAGAGAACACTGTTTATTGAGGGCCAAAGCTGAAGAACCCAAACCAAAGAGTGACATTGACAAATTTACGCCAGAAGCCTAAAAAGGGGTAGCCAATAAGAATAGTGACAGCCTATGATTATCCATATGCAGTGCATCTTGATACTTCTGGCATTGATAGTTGCCTTGTGAGTGACTCTGCTTCCGTCGTGGTTCATGGCCATGACACCAATTTTCCTATTACTCTGAAGAAATGTTATTCATTGCTGTGCCATGGCTAGAGGCGCCAAGAATCCACTGCTTGTTGGAGACCTACCTTTTGGTACTTATTGAGTCCAATACTCATCAAGTGATGTGCATGCTTATCCTTTTGTTGTCTCCGAAAATAGTGCTTTTTTTTTTGTGGGTAGTTATGCATATTCTCAGTTTTGTGATGTTACTATGAAAGGAACTTCAATCCCGTTGGTTTGTTTACTCTACTATTTGATGGAGGTTTGCATTTTAAAATTTGGTATTGAGGAAGTAGACGGGTGAAAATAAAGGGAAATTGAGAAGGCAGACTTTTGAACAAGATAAAATATTGAAGAATAGGGATATACCAAGTTGTCTTGCTCTCATCACTGATGCTGGGTTGGTAATATTTGATCTGAACAGTTTATGCTGGGTTGGTAATATTTGATCTGAACAGTTTAACATTTTTCTGTGTTGCACTGGCAAAGTTACCCCTTAATCTGTCCCGTGAGTAATACCTGATGTGTTTCCGGTCGACTTTAACAGTAGAATTGGACGGAAGGGCTAAAAGTAAACATATTTATTAGTTGGAGGACTAAATGTTCATACTTATTAGTTGGAGGGCCAAAAGTGCACCAAATGGAAAGTTGGAGGACCATAGGGGTTTTTGGCCCTTCTTTTATCTTGAGTTGAATATCTGAATTTTATGATATTGTTTTCAGAAATTTTAACTGCCGCAATATTGTAGAAAAGGTTTCTTCGAAGTAGAAATTTGATTTCAAAACAAATAAGAACTAAATATTAGGAAATAGGAAAAAGTATCTTATTTAAGATTTGTTCAATGGATTTGGTAGATTAGGACTTAAAAAAGAGAAAAAAATTTTTATCCAATCTAAATTTGTAGTTTTGGCGAACTTGCTGGATAAGTGATGTGACTATTGTTGTTGACATATTATTGGGTGACTGAGGTTCCATGAATTTTCTTTGGAACCCACAAAAATATAACACAGTGCATATGGGAGCGGAATCATGGACTACGGAGATAGAAAGGACAAAGGTTCAAAGGTGTTTTATCTTAAATCACATAAATACACTCATGGACTTTCTATATGTTGGGAAAATACATTGGTAGTGTTACATTTTTGGGTGATTGGATTGGATAATCTCTCTTAAATGATTGGCACTACTTAGTAGCATTTCTGTGTGGTGATTACTAAGTTCAAGGGGAGCTGCTTATTTAATTGTGTCTCTGGAAATCTTTTGTTACTAAAATGTTTTCTGGGATTCGGCAAAAATGCAAGTAAATGATTTCCTGATACAGGTTATATTTGCAATTTTATTAGCATCATAATGGATGGATTTTTTTTTTCTGTTAATGGTTATATAAAATATTTGTTCTCTACCATGTATAGTCAATTACCTAGGGATCCATTAATTAATCATTTGTAAGCTTTGGAGAAGTTAAAGTACAAAACCTGAAAAGTTGAGAATATGTCAAATAGGATTTGGTATGTATGTGTATGTCGACCTTGGCAGTCTTGCAGATGAACAATTTTACAGGATTTATGCTATTTTACTTGTGATTTTTGCAAGTCTATGCCAAGTTTATGCTTTTTATCTTTGTTTTCTTGGTCTTTTACTTATGTTTTCATTTTTTGAAAAAAAAAATTGCTTGTGCATAAACTTAGCTGATCTTTTGTGAATCTTAGAATTCTTCGTAGTTTGAGGCTGATACTTTTTTTGAAAATGAGTACTACCTCAGGCATTTCATTAGCTGCAAGGAGGGAAAATGCAGGGAAGACTTTGGTTGAACTACTCGTCCAGGACTTAGACCACTGCTGATTTCAATTTTGCAGCTTGTTTAGACATAGAAAAGTAATGGCTCTTTCAATCCCTGTGCTTCATTTTATATATTTTCTTGGACGTTATGATTAGCTATAACCTTGGAACTTTTGTTGTATATTGACATTGATGATACGTCTTTTTTTAATGATAAGAATTGTCTGCTATGTTGTCTTGACTCGTGGGTATCCCTTCTTTTGAACGTTGCATGTTTGTTTTAGTTGTTGACATGAACACTTGACAAAATTGATTTGTCCTTCTTCATGTCATTTTTCTTTGAGTTTTGTTTGGTTACTTCTATTGGAGAAGCTTAAAGTTCAATATTAGAATCAGTTATTATAGGTTGGCCTAGATCAATATTAGAACAAGATAATGTAATCAATTCTAGTCTAGTTTGGATCCTAGAATATATACATAATGAGCAGCCCTTTAAATATAATGCAATTAGCAAGGTTGGAATTTGGCTACTGGACATTCAACTTTTTCTTTTGAGAATCTTTGGACTATAATAAAATGGGACCTACTACCTAGATAACAATTATGGATTTGTGGGTTCTTTGCTATGTACATTTGATTTAGAAAATGAACTCTATGCAAATCCTGTTTGTTTGATCTAGTTTGGTGTAAAGAAGTTAACCAGATCTTTGTACAGTCCATGTTTTTGTCAATAAAAGATGAAATTATTAAAATAGAAAATGGAATCTTGACTAGAAAAGTGTATTTTTTTTAAAAAAAATTAAAAAGAAAAAGAAACAAGAATGGCGTAGCACCATTCTGTAAAAACAGCATGATCATCATAAATCTTTAGGAAAAGCATGAGATGCACCTTTTTTATGGAATGATGGAAACTGCAAGTCAAAGCTTGAGTTTAAATTACTCTTTTCAGATTATGCGTATAGTTAATTAGTTTTGTTCAGCTTAAGTTCAATAGCTTGTAAATTTGCAGCTTTGGGTTTCCTTTCTTTTGGTGTTAAGAGCTTTGACTAGTTAATCTAGTGGAATATGTTAGTTCAAAGTTTAATTTTTTTGGTATTCACCTTATTCATTCTTTTTAGCCGATTGATACTATTATTTCCTGTTTTAGTGGAATATCATTTCCTGTTTTAGGTTGGTTGAAGTTGCCATGCTATTGCAGATTTCAATACAGGGCAAGAAGAGATTTAAATGTTATCTTATTTCAGCAATTCTAAACATGGATGTTATATGGATTGGTATTGACAACGTTTGCGTAACAATGAATGATGTCCATAATTTTGGCACAAGTTCATTTCCTTCAGTTTTTTAGCAGCCAGCTTGATTGAGAATGAATTTTTGCCCTGAAGCAAATGTTATAGAATGTGAGGAATTAAATGATAGGCTCGTATGATTTTTACAAAATTATTAATGGTGATAATGGCTTGGCCAGTTGTCAGAAAAAAGGTCTCAAGAAAACCTTTTATGCGATGAACATGTTGTCTGATGGTTGCACCGACACGAGAAAGTTTTGTCATAAAATTCTTTTCTGACTTTTTAGTACACACCTTTTCATTAAAACTGAAATGTTGTGATCCTACTAAAGCATATACGTTAATTATAAATTGCAGTTAGAAGTCCTTACAAAGAGTGGCAGTTTCGTTTGTTTGGAACTCTGGGACTCTCCTGTTCATTGTGATTTTCGTTACATTTGCACCATCTCCAATCAAAGCTGTGTTCGTCATATTTGCCCACACTTCCACAATCTCCACATATATACCGGCCTCCACATGGATGAAGTACCTGGATTGACTCTGAATGGGTGCTGATGCAATGGTGCAATGGCATCCATTATCCTTCTATATGCTTCAGGTCTTGTCTTCGAAACGGTTGCATTGAACATAATACCGTTTCCATGAACGTTGCTCAATTTCTTGTGTCCTTGCAGTTGGAAATGTATGGAGATGTAAACAGATACAACCGCAACTAATACAATCACGATGACTGGTGAAGCGCCCTTAGCCATACCTCCACCTACGCCTGGAGATTAGTTGGTCAATGCTAATAGCAGCCTGAGTGTTCTTTTTGTTTATTAGTTGATTACAGGGATAACATATTGCATGTTTTGAGTATTTATAAGAAAATGGAGATGCAGAAGTTTACTGATATTGGTGGGGAACGAAATCATGATTGCCAAGGAATTAGGTAGATTCAACAATTATTACCATAGTCCTAAAAACAGAAATAAAAGGCTAATCTGTTTTTGTGTTTGTATTTTATTCTATTTTGGTTTTCAGACATAATGTTTCATTATTTCTGGCGGTAACATACTATAGCCAACTGAAACTTTAATCCTTACCCAAAAAGGATGATTTGTTTGTTGAATTGCTTTGAGTGTATAATGCAAATGGACAAAAAACTATTTCAGGCCAATGGACATCTTTGGGGTTAATGAAGAACTGCGATTGGATAAAACCAGTTCGGGCTAACGGACATCTTTGGCGATAATGACCCTGAAACTGCCGCTACATAAAAACATGCTTGATATTCAGAACATGATTTACGTCCTGCGGCTTTCCTTCTTGGTCGGTGATCACAAATTACAACTGTAAGTAGGCACAGAAACAATAATGAATATTTTTTGTTTTTAGATTTTGAATCTTAAACTTAACTGCCTTCATTATAATGCAGTAATTTGATAGCCAATAACTCCACATTATTAGATTCTAACAGCAGATGAATGCAAGAAATAATTTATATAGTTAGATTATGTGATTATAAAGTGAGTGAGAGGATATTTATATACTTTTTGGAGTAGCAATAATGATTGAATCCGTTAGCTGCTGTTTAATTTTCCGTATACACTTGTGTTATAGTAGTATTTGGCCAAGACAGCTGCTAAGGCCTGACTAATGGATGTTAACAGATATACATTTATGCTTACATGAGCTTGAGAGACAGTCAGAGATACTGCAGAGTGCAGACAAGCATGAGAAATTTCTAAATTTATGATGAAATTTAAAATTTTTCTACAAATGAGGCTTTTTGAGTGCAGCATTCTATTTAAGTGATAGCACACAGAATTTCTGATTTTGCAAAAATCTAAAAAAAGAAAAAAATTGCTTCAGACCTCGCATTTAACATATGCGAGATTTGAAACCTTTTAGTTTTTTAATATTAATAAATTCAAGCTCATCATTATTTTTTTTATAAATTCAAGCAAATTGTGTTTGTTTTTCTTTTGATTGTGGGTTTTGCTTTTTATTTCAGGAGAATGAATTTTTAGGTTATTATCCATTGATCTTGAATTTCACATACTGAGTACTAATATGACCTAATCCTATAATAGAATTCATGTCTGTTGTAAATCCTTTTTAAATTCAACCACTTCCCAAGCTATCTAAGTATGTTTATTCAACAAAAACAGATTAGCCTTTTATTTCTGTTTTTAGGACTAAGGTAACAATTGTTGAATCTACCTAATTCTTTGGCAATCATGATTTCGTTCCCCACCAATATCAGTAAACTTCTGTATCTCCATTTTCTTATAAATACTCAAAACATGCAATATGTTATCCCTGTAACCAACTAATAAACAAAAAGAACACTCAGGCTGCTATTAGCATTGACCAACTAATCTCCAGGCGTAGGTAGGGAGGTATGGCTAAGGGCGCTTCACCAGTCATCGTGATTGTATTGGTTACGGTTGCATCTGTTTACATCTCCATACATTTCCAGCTGCAAGGACACAAGAAATTGAGCAACGTTCATGGAAACGGTATTATGTTTAATGCAACCGTCTCGAAGACAAGACATGGAGCATATAGAAGGATAATGGATGCCATTGCATCATTACCCATTCAGAGTCAATCTAGGTACTTCATTCATGTGGAGGCCGATATATATGTGGAGATTGTGGAAGTGTGGGCAAATAAGACGAACATAGCTTTGATTGGAGATGGTGCAAATGTAACCAAAATCACAATAAACAGGAGAGTCCCAGAGTTCCAAACAAACGAAACTGCCACTCTTTGTAAGGACTTCTGACTGCAATTTATAATTAACATATATGCTTTAGTAGGATCACAACATTTCAGTTTTAATGAAAAGGTGTGTACTAAAAAGTAGGGTATGAAAAACAGGGGACATCAAGTTTTCCTTTCTTCTTTCTTCACTACACTATAGCACTTTGCCGAATGTTGTAGTCCATTGAAGCTTTCCTTTTAATGCAGCAAAGAAGCCTTCTAGTAGGTTTCAACAAGTCTATTCCAATTATTTAGTTGATCAGCCTTTGTGTTTACGGAAAATTTCTATTATCTATGTTATTGAGTCCATGTGCAATATGGTACTAAAATCAGATATGAAGCGGCTGTATCTTAGTTTTACATAAAGGCCTAGTTGCCTATATCCATTTCAAGCACAAGATTTCAACAATATCAAACATGCACACTTTGTATCTCTACTATTTCTAGCTCTACAAAGTTACAGTGGCTTTCGAATTTCAATACTTCAATTCTTCAAGCTCATTTGCTTCTTGCAGCAATCTATACTCTTTGGAGTACTACTACAATTTAACACATCACCCTGCATTATTAAGATTATTTAATTCATACATTCCACTCAGTACAATATCTAAATTTAACAACATACTGGATGATGGAATTACTCTCCCATCATAAAAAGTGCTGACATCTTTGCAGAAAGCTTACTTCTTTGGCACTAATACTATCAACTCTATCAGTAGAAAGAATATTCAAAGATTGTATATCCACAGAGATTCTCAGATTGCATAGTTTTGGAAGATGAAGATTTAGAAGTTCATTTTGGTTCTGCAATGGCACAAATATTGCATACAGGATTTAAATTTTCAGCAAGCATTATTTACTATCTCTTTTCCTTTCTTTTTCTTTTTCATAAACTTTATCTTTTCTTTATCTATTTCATAGCATATGAAGCTTATTAAAATGCCATTACATTTCATTGTTTGCAGCTGTTAAAGGTGATCGTTTCATGGCTAAGTACATAACTTTCGAAAACTCAGCAGGAGAAGGCACTCAAGCTGTTGCCCTAATGTCCCTGTCTGACGGATCATCATTTTACAGATGTACATTTTTAGGGTTCCATGACACGCTCTGTGCACACTTTGGCAGGCAATTCTATAAGGAGTGTGACATCTATGGCACTGTTGATTTTGTGTTTGGCAATGCTGCGGCAGTTTTTCAAACCTGCAACTTATATGCACGGTTGCCTAACCGTGTTATTACTTTCACTGCACAGGGAAAAAAGTCACGCTATGAGAGGAGTGGATTTGTCATTCAAAATTCCACTTTGACAGCAGCCCCAGATTTGCAGTCCAACAAATCTCAGGTTCACGCTTTTCTTGGGAGACCATGGTTTGCATGGTCGACCGTGATTGTGATGCAATCATTCTTGGATAGCATCATAGATCCAGCTGGGTGGTATGAGTGGCCAGGCCATCGCACAGATGAGCTAACCTACAGGGAATATGGTAATTGGGGTCCTGGTGCAGGCACAGGGAGACGAATTTCATGGGCGGGATATAAAGCATTAAATCAGTCCAAGGAAGTTATTCCTTTCACGGTTTCTAAGTTTATTCAGGGGGATTCTTGGATTCCAGAGTCTGGAATCCCTTACACCAGCGGTTTATATTAGTATGAGCCTATGAGGCCATATCTTCAAAATCCCTTATACCAGCAGTTTATTTTAGTACGAGGCCATTATATGGTGTTTCTGTGATATGTTCACTACTTTACTACAAATTGAGTGTGACATTGCTAGACTGTGAATGAAGAAAAGGTATTTGCGATATGTTCACTACTTTACTAGAAATTGAGTATGGCGTCCAGCAACCGCCACAAGCCTATGGGACTGACCCACAAGCACTCCAAAAAGACCACTTTAAGTTCCTTGAATAAAATTTAAGAAAAGGTACTTATGTAAGTTGAGAATCAAACTTTCTTCCTATTTATCAGCCATATTTTCTTCTTCTTCTTTGACTAGTATGGTTACAAAAGCAGAACTCTTTTCAAACTTTGAGACTTCTCGAAAGATTTTGAGAGTATGTCCAAAAGAAGTTGCTTTGCTAAAAGATAAAAGTGCATGAAATTGGAAAAAAAAAAATTAGAAGCATTGCAATCTTTTCTCTCTACAGTAGATGGCATGGCCCATAGATTCAGTTGGATTGAAGCTTTGTTGCTGGTTTAGCAGCAAATTGACCCAGCTAACAACAAAATTTTGGAGGCTTCAAGTTCTAATCAGCTAAAAGTGATAATAACTGGTTTCCCTTCCCCACCCTTTTCTCTACCAATTTCTCCACTAATTTTCCAACCATAAGCTGGTTGAAAGGATATTTTCATCCTTCGAAGCTAAGAATAAAACTAAAGGATGATTTGACAAAAAAGAATAATTTTGGTCTAAAAGAGTCTATCCGCGGTGATTCCTAGAGTCTAACAATGGTCAAAGTTCTCTGCACGTTCAGTGGTTTCTCTTATTAGGCCTTAAACATTTTGGTCTTTCCTTTGTCACTTAAAATTTCCAGAATGTCGGTCATTTTGGGCTTCTTTTCATTATCTACAATATCAGGTAAGTTGTTCAAGCATTCTTATGGGGAAAGGGAAAGTTCCTAAAAGTTCTAAAGTTCTACAACTAGTTACTTTTCCTATTTAGAATATGGAAATAGGAGTTTTAGGTACCTTTTTACTTTATGAATACTTGTGTTTCTATGTCATTCTTTGCAGAGAATTTGATGAATGAAGATTTAGTTTTGGTCTATTAGTTGTGTTCTTCTTCTTTCTCTTAGCTTCTCTACTTCTTTCCCTCTTTTCTTACCACATCACTGTCCAGGATAATGTTCACAGCACCAAAACAATCTCAAGGCCCTTGTTCTTCTGCTCACACAAGTAGGCAAGATCTCACCCATCTTGTCCCACATCAATTTTAGAGATACACCGTTTGGCGGTGCTCTGTGCCAAGTTTTGTGATATTTTGTGCTATTAATGATTTACATTTAGATATATAACTACAAATTTGGCTTGCACCTCCAGTTTACATTTAGATGGTTGGCATTCCTCGAATTTGTAATTCTGGAGTTTACAATTAGTTTTGTTTGACATGTGTGTTCATATCATAAGCACTTAAATCACACTCCTTATCAACATCAAGTGAAAATTATAAATAGCATCAGCGGCAGCAGATATCAAAAGAAAACAATGTACACCAGAAACCCAGCATTACTGCTGATAGTCTTTCGGATGCGTGAACTGACAAAATAAAGAAAAGGAAAAGAAAGATCCCGGTTGCTGAACAGCAATACAAAGTAACCAAAGAAAACAACGTAACAAATCTTACTTACTGCTGTTCAGGAATGCATTAGTTAGTACTTCATTTCTTATGATGAATCAAATGACATACATGTTTTAGCTGAATATGATGGGCAATTTCAGTGGGATATGTTGAATAGAGCAAGAGTAATTAGAAAACAAGAAAATTCAGATTTTGTACACAGTTTCTCAAAGCAGGCCAAAAAGCCACTTTTCATAGATTAAAATGAACACCTATTGTCAAGTCTAGACTAAATTCCAGCCAGTGAAGAAGTTAAGCATCTTTTGGCAAGTTGCATGATCTAACTCAAGGAATGCACAAGGCACACTACATTGAATAAAAAATGACATGTATGTTCAAGTAATATGCATGTAAACCTATGTAAGACATGACGATAATTATTTAAACAAAAAGCTCATGGAGAACAAGTTAATTAGATTTTCTCCAAGCATAATTTCACTCGTAAGGCGTAGCATATGAGTTTTTAATTTAAGTGGGCCAAATTGATTAATTCAACTGAATTTCCTGCTGTCAATGTATATAGTCATTGAACACTTAACATGAAAGATTTAAGACCTCATTGATACCTCAAGTCAGAAAGTTATCAAGTGAACAAGGAACAGAAAAGAAAGCATGGCATAAACACATAACCCCAAGAACAATTACCCAAAAAAGCATGAATTCAACAGTTATCCCAATCATTAAACAGCAAACTTAGAATAGAGCCACTCAAGAAACATGACTACTAAGCAATTTTACAGGTTATGCAGGAAACATATTTGCATCCTTTGGAGCTACTACTTGCTCTAAAATCATGTAAAAAAGGATGTCCATAGTCCATGTGACATAAAGAAAACAATGTAAGAAAACCGTTAATATACAACAGGAGCCACTCTCAAACTGTAACCAGATTAAGCAAGCAATCTGAAGTAATCCACATCTTTCGTGAATTATAACTGCAACAGTGGCTCAAGAAAAATCCCAACTTTTATTCAATCATTTTGTAATAGGCACTCAGAAACTATGACCACGAGACACAGCTTTGCAGGTACACTTGCACATAACTAATTGATCACATTAATATCCAAAACTTGATCAAGCAAAACAACTGAAATAACAGGTATCTTTAATCCTTTAGTATACTAGGTGGCATTAGTTAGCCAAAATCAATAGTTACACACCCAAATCACTACTTTGTAGCTAATGAAGAAACAGATTTGAGAGCAAGTGAAACCAACATTCAAGTTAATTTCCAAAAGAAGAACATTTTGAGACAAATGACAAACAATTCTACTAGATATGATTTAAACCTCATAATGTAGTCAATATACAAAACATGCATAGCTTAGATTAGATGCTTGTGCAAAATCCGTGCTTAAAAAGGTCCAATTATACAACAATTTACCAAAGCGGAAAACCAACATACTATTTATTATACAATTCAGCTCATAATGCCTTTGTTTAGTTTCCATTGGAAATGATCTTTCATTTGTAAGAATTTTTTTTCTTTGACAAATGCGGAAAGCTTGATGCAGAACAGCTTAGCATTAAAAAATGACTACGATAAGAAAAATAACTGCTACTTAAAGTTGATTAGGTATAGCTAGATCTCGTTATTGTTTCCAAAATCCCTCTTTGTGGTTTTTAATAAGGGAAGAGAAGAACAAGAAGAAGAAAAGGATCAAGTAGCTTACCTCATCCATCAACACTAAAAGCAGCATCCCATAGTAGTCCTGCACATGCCACAGCAGCAAATCTACTTTAAGAACCTCCTGCAATCCTTTCTGTTCATGGTTCAGCAACCAAAATATAAAGGTTGCAAGTGGACCAAGAATCAATCCTTTCACGGGTTTAGCAACCGTTTCATCATTTTGCATGCATATATGGACTGACTATCTTCACAAGTTCAGCCTTGCAATCACTATATTTGCCTTTCCTTCTGGCTAGGTGGACACTCCAAGCCACCAACTCATATGCACATAAAAAACAGAAGAGTTTGGCTTAATTAAATAATATTACAAGCCAAAGCATTAGGTTGCACTTTACATGTCCTCAATCAAACCAACATAATGGAAACAAGAAAAAACAAAGAAAACATAAATTAGGGTATAACAAAATTCCAAACTAAAAAGGACTTGACAAATAAGTAGATCATCTACCAAAAATAAAAGAAAAACTGAATGTATATTTATACATGCAACCAAATTGAACACAGCCCCAGGATGGTCCTCCACATCCATTCTCTTGCCTTTTTTACTATAAAACATATGGCCAGCTCCTTCCACTTATGCTAAACCCCTTTCCCTCCCTTATACCAAAGAACTAACAAGAATATTCCAAAAACCATGAAACCATTTTTAAGCACCCAAAATTTTATTTTATTTTATTTTATTTGGTATTTCCCATGTAAAAAATTGAAGAACAAAGAGCTAGCAATGAAAGAAGTTGTGAACAGTCGTATTCCATTTCTCAGTCCCTTCCAAATAGGTAACAAACACCATTTGCATCTAGGAAGGGGTTCTCAAGTTTATTTCTCTTGATACACAATGTTGTTGTAAAAGGAAAAATAAAAAATAGGCAAGGGTCTGCGCAATAATTCTTTGGTAGATGACTCGGAGAACACAATATCACTTCCTGTGTGCTTAGAAATTCTAGGATGAATGCTTTGATTAATAATTAAAAGTATGTGAACCACGTAAATAAGATAGAGATGATCTTAATGGAATATGACAAACTATTATGACGCTTTCTACTCTGTCGAGGCTTAGGCTGGTGTTTAGAAAAGGAACATCTTCTCAAATTGACTGGCCATAAAGAAACCAATCACATGGAATTTCACTCTGATTGTAAGAGGGCCTCGGCCATAGTGCTGAAAAAGATGGGATATCAATGCTACAAGTTTCCATTTTCAGCTCACAATCATCTTATGAGCACATTAAAGAAACCAATCAGATGGATTTTTGTTCTGGTTGTAAGGTAAAGGGCTGAAAAAGAAGGGATATTAAAGCTCAAAGTATTGATTTTTCAGGTTAAATCATCTTGAGATCACCTTAAAACAGCTGTGACCAAATTCTCTTAGCTGCGTCAGTGGTGAAAGAATATTGTTCCTCGTCATAACTGCCACAAAATTGGTCAGCATTTGGACCTTTATTAGCTCGTAATGTAGGCTTGGAGTAGGTTTAAGCAAAGAATAAGATAGTAAAGGCCCAAAAGATAAAAAATCATTTTTTTTTTTTAAGGATTAGAACCTGTGACCACTTCTGCATAGTGAGCCTCTTCTCAATCTCTCTCTATTTTTTTGTCCTTTTTGGGAACTAAACTATTGATATTTGAGCTTCTCTCAATCCTCCTTGCTTTCCTTCTTTCTTTCCTTTCGTTTTCCTACTTTCTTTTGTTTTTCTTTTTTGAGAAGTAAACATCTGAAACTCGAGCATTGGAACTCAACATTCTTGTAATCCTTGATTTCATAAAAAATCACAATTAAAGTACTCTAACTTCCATGAAATAACTCTCAAAAAATTAACCCCAGTGTGGGGTGTGATCAGCAGGGGTTTTAACGTGAAATGAATTATCAAGTCTAAAGGCTCAAAGGGGACAACAAAGGCCACTGTGTTTAAGTAGGGAATCAAAGGCCAAACATCATCCTATTTTGTGGCAATTGAGATCGGGAACATCGATAAATTCAGCTACAGAGCTACTAAAACTTAATTTAGTAGCAAAAACATCTTAGTACTCTGTGAAACATGAAAAACAGAACTTTCATGTTTCAAGTTTTTATTTTCTAGGTGGGGACGATCATCAAGAGGTTTACAGAATGAACATAATTCATAGGCCCAAGGAGTTTGACAAGGTATAAACTGTATATGGGTAGCAAAAACATGGCCATCATCACATTGGTTTCTATTAAGTCAGCTCCTAAGATGATTGACTAGAGGCGGAGTTGCTAATTTCGTATGTAGTCATACAGCAAAAAGAACTTGAATATGAGAGCTAAGGATAGAGTATTCGGACATTTCTTTTTTCAAATTTTGCAACCAAATTTCAGTAGTTCAGTTTGCCGTGTTCAACCAAAATCATCTTTACATTTCTTTAAAAGTATAGTTCAACTTTGATCTCAATGTGAGTCCAAAGATGAATTTATACTTCAATTATTAACATAAGCATTCCTCCAGGAAACTCAAAAAAGTGTGCAATGAAGATGAAACATCCAAAAGTGTTTGAAAGCTATTTTCAAATTTCAACAAGACAGAAACTCATGGAATTGGCTAATGATGACTTTTGAGCACAGTAATGGATTTAGATAGGGCTTTTATATCATAAAGGAAGGAAGAAGTTGAGCACAAGAAAAAAGGAGAGAGAGTAGGGAAAGAAGAATGAGAAGACAGAATAAGGAGATGAGGGAGTTGAATATAAGGACACGTACAGAGGCACAAACTATACGTTTCAAAAGCCATTTGATTTGCAAAGTTCAATAAAATCTAATGGAATAAATAAGTAAATCCTCAACCAGTAGCTTCAGCATAAACGTGTACTACTACACACGTGCACGCATGTACAAATGACATTAGCCCATTGTTTACGATAATATCCATGATTCTGATCAAAATAATTTGACATTTGTTAGCCAAAATAAGGAAACTTGCTCAATGATTGCACAGAATTAAAAATTTTCTAATAAAGTACAGTAATCCAACAGCTTTCAAGTTAATTCACTACCAACTGTTCATATCACAAAAGAAAGAGATAAGCATTTTAGAGAAAATACACTAATTCTGTAATTATAGGGGCGAATGGGCCATATTCCATGAGACAGAAAGAAGCTGAAAAGAAGTCACCCCTAAGTAGCCTGTCTCCCAAAATACTCCAATTACACCAAGGGAAGCGAGCAATTTGACATAGTCCACTTAAATGCAACAATAATTACCAAGAAAGCACCAAGTCAGAATTTAGTCCTATCAATTAAACAGCAAATTTAGAATAGAGCCACTCAAAACTATGACCACAAAGATCCGATTATTTCATCCGCTTATAACACAACTAATTGATCAGGCTCAAACAAGAAGCATCTTTGCAGGGTATTATAGCAGACATATTTGCATATTTTGATGGTAGTACCAGTTAACAGCTCTAGAATGATGTCAAAAAAATGGCAAAACTCCATCGGACATGAAGAAACCAATGCAAGATAACTGTTGAATATGCAACAGAGTCACTCCCAAACCATGACGTAATGAAGCAAGCAATCAGGAGTAATACACATAATTGATAAAATCTGACTTGAGTACAAGTACCACTGCAGCAGTGACCACTAGAAAAAAAACTAACAAATCTAGAGGATATTACAATCATTAAACAGCACAAAATAGGATGAGTCTCTCAAGAAACTATGTCCATGAATCTCAATTTTGTCTGTATATTTGCACATCACTAATCTTTTGCATTCATATGCAAATTTAAAACCAAGAAACCAGAAACCAAGAAAACAAATTGGATATTAGAAGCAACAGAGTGTAGAAGGACAATTATTAAAACTAAAATGACGATACCCATTAGACCAAGTTTCCCTGAATTCCATCTAGTTTGTCTGATTAGGCCCAACTTTTTAAGAAAAATTCAATCATGAGACGCAACTACAAAAATGGGGGCTTTTTGTGATGAGCTCTGGTTGTCACAAAAAGTCCATTTTTCGTCATGAAAACTTTGCCTGATGGAGAGTTCATAACCAAAGCTCCGTCCCAATAGCCTGTTGCAAAAAGTATTTTGTGACAAAAACCACGCTTCGTCACCAAACTCTAGTGATGCGAGGCACACTGTCAGAAAAGAATTTTAGCAGTCCAAAAAAGTTCTCGTGACAAAACTTTACTTGTGACAGGGAAGAATTTTAGTTGTGATGGGCGCATTGTCAGAAAAGAATTTTATGACCAAACTTTCTCGTGTCGGTGCAACCATCAGACAATATGTTCATCGCATAAAAGGTTTTCTTGAGACCTTTTTTCTGACAACTGGCCAAGCCATTATCACCATTAATAATTTTGTAAAAATCGTACGAGCCTATCATTTAATTCCTCACATTCTATAACATTTGCTTCAGGGAAAAAATTCATTCTCAATCAAGCTGGCTGCTAAAAAACTGAAGGAAATGAACTTGTGCCAAAATTATGGACTTCATTCATTGTTACGCAAACGCTGTCAATACCAATCCATATAACATCCATGTTTAGAATTGCTAAAATTGCTGAAATAAGATAACATTTAAATCTCTTCTTGCCCTGTATTGAAATCTGCAATAGCATGGCAACTTCAACCAACCTAAAACAGGAAATGATATAATAGAATCAATCGGCTAAAAAGAATGAATAAGGTGAATACCAAAACAATTAAACTTTGAACTAACATATTCCACTAGATTAACTAGTCAAAGCTCTTAACACCAAAAGAAAGGAAACCCAAAGCTGCAAATTTACAAGCTATTGAACTTAAGCTGAACAAAACTAATTAACTATACGCATAATCTGAAAAGAGTAATTTAAACTCAAGCTTTGAAAACAGACTTGCAGTTTCCATCATTCCATAAAAAAGGTGCATCTCATGCCTTTCCTAAAGATTTATGATGATCATGCTGTTTTTACAGAATGGTGCTACGCCATTCTTGTTTCTTTTTCTTTTTAATTTTTTTTTTTTAAAATACACTTTTCTAGTCAAGATTCCATTTTCTTTTTTAATAATTTCATCTTTTATTGACAAAAACATGGACTGTAGAAAGATCTGGTTAACTTCTTTACACCAAACTAGATCAAACAAACAGGATTCGCATAGAGTTCATTTTCTAAATCAAATGTACATAGCAAAGAACCCACAAATCCATAATTGTTATCTAGGTAGTAGGTCCCATTTTATTATAGTTCAAAAATTCTCAAAAGAAAAAGTTGAATGTCCAGTAGCAAAATTCCAACCTTGCTAATTGCATTATATTTAAAGGGCTGCTCATTATGTATATATTCTAGGATCCAACTACACAAAGTGAAGAAAACACAACAATATACTCAGGAAAGTAGCCCTTTATAATATTCCACAATCCAAACTAAGCATTATCTAGAAAAAAACTATATCACATAGCCGCAAAGCATCATACCATCATCCAAAAGAAAACCAGGCAAAACCAACCATAAGAGCACTCTCAGAAGCCAATAATCGAACCATTAAAAAGCATTAGATCAGTCTGTAACATACCCGAATGGAGTAATTGTTAACTTTGCTTATAACTATTGATTATCATTTTCCTACATAATAGCTAAAAACAACAATACAGAACATCAGCATTAAAATACCTCTGACTTCAAGACTAAAGAGGAAAAAACCAAAGGAAAAGTAGAAAAAAGGTTCATACCACTCGGTAGAGAAAAATAGAAACAATTCCTTGTTTTCTGCTTCTTGGCCTCTCAGTGTCTCCTTTTTCTTGCGTATATACGTGACAAATAAAGAGGGAGAATGAAAGGTAATGGGCTATTTCTCGTCTTTTTTTTTTACTAAAAAGGTCAAAATATTCACTGAATTTCAGTACCAAAATCCTAACAACTCCCGTCTGAAAATCTGGAAAACTTTTGCTTCAATCAGACGGTGATAAAATTAGGACGGTACAATTGAAATACATCTAAAGGTAGAAAAATAAGTCAAAGACTTTCCAGATTTTAGGGACAAAAGCAAACATCTCATCTAAACAGGGCTTTGTGATTGAAGGAAATAGTGCAACCCAATGAGCGAGGTGAATCAAAGAATGGAGCACTTTTTTGGGCAAAACATCCCTGATTTTTAGGGTAACAGGGACTGCCTAATCAACAGCAAATTCGCTTCTTTGCATCCTTTCCAAGTACAATAAGCAGACAAGAATGGCAATTATGGAGTGGAAATTCAAGGAATTGGGTGGACTCAGCCGAAGAAGAGGAGAGGACGTCTGCCGCTTTGTTTCTTCTCTCCTGACTACAAGAGAACGAAGAGAAGACCACTAACCGTAGGCTAGTAATTAAAACATGAGGGACAAGCTTGTAATTAAAGGTCAAAGGACACAAATAACCCTATACAGTGAGCAATTGTTCGGGCCATGAGAAAAAAATCTAAAGGCCTTAATTAACGGAAGCTGCATTCCCAGCATGAAACGAAGAGAAGACCACTAACCGTAGACTATTTTTAATTACAAAAACAGGGCTCAATAATTCCGCACTGTTCGCAGCCACTGTTAAAACATGAGGGACAAGCTTGTAATTAAAGGTCAAAGGACACAAATAGCCCTATACAGTGAGCAATTGTTCGGGCCATGAGAAAAAAATCTAAAGGCCTTAATTAACGGAAGCTGCATTCCCAGCATGACATTTCTCCCTGGTCACGTGGCTCAATGTAGAGCTATAGCACTTGTATTTTTATAGAGTAAAATACACGGAACCCTTATGGTTTCGTAAAAAGACACATTACCCTCCTATCGTTTAGAAACCTACACATAAACACCCTAAACTTCATAACTAAAGTGAAAATTGACTTCTTAACCGGCTGAGTTACCGACTATAGGTCGAATACCCAAAATACCCTCATTTATAATAGAGAGGGATAGAGAATCAAGAACCGGCTGAGTGTCAGCACAATGTGATGTCCTATCATTAAATCAAACAAAACATAGACAACCATTCCCCCACTGCCAATATCCCCACCTCCCTTTCCTCCAACCTTCTGGGGCCAAAAGGCACATGCCTCAAACCCTATTTCAAACGATCACTGCCAAGCACACTATCCTGAACAAAAATGCATGGACGTATAAAAATGCAATATTGTCAAGAAGGATGAGGAACCCAAGTAAAATAGCAACTCAAGAATGTGAGGAAAAAAATGAAGAAACTGGGCTTCAATCGTTCAACACAGAGCATCTTCATAAATCCCAGCAATCACCATTTCACAGAGCAAATTCAGCAGTAATGCAGACGTGCATTTATAAGCAAGCACGTACAGAAATAAGTAGCGCGAGCGCAAGAAAGAAGGATAGTAGTATTGGAGTTATTTTTTGGGGGTGGGTGTTGACCTCCAAGAACAAAGTTGGAAATTAAAGCAACACACCAATCGAGTTTCATGCGTCTGATTTTTTTGTCAATGGGAAGCTGAGGTGCTGACCACGATGACTGTGAAGGCGCTGAAGATGACAAAGTCCTGTCTAAGGCTGTTATTTTGGGTTTAATGCAAATGTTAATGCAGGATGACGATGGAGGATATGCAGAAGAAGCTGTGAGCGTGGAGTGGGCTGAGAAGTGCCTAAGCATTCATTTCAAGTGTCCCTGTGGCAAAGGCTATCAGATTCTTCTTCTGGAAACAACTGTTACTACAAGCCGGTTTAGTCTAGGAGTTTTAGCATATTTTTTCTTTCATTGCAACTGGGAAGGAGTGTGTGTTGCTGACAGCTACTAGTCTGTTGATGATAATTGAACCCATCGCTTACAATCAGGGGCTTTCCGGCTATAAAGCTATCTGTGGTTGTTATAGACTCATGGCATGGGAGGGCTTAGGTTCCAGGAGCGAAATGGTGGACAACCCATGAAGGGTGAGATCCTTTTGTTCACAAGAAAAGGGTCTTCTTGGCTCTGGGTCCTTCAGAGTCGGATTCAGGTGGTTGCGATTGATGGCTCTTGAAGAGAGAAACAGGAAAAAGAGTTTCATGCCGGAACAACCGTAAAATGAAGAAACTGGGCTTCAATTGTTCAACACAGAGCATCTTCATAAATCCCCACAATCACCATTTCACAGAGCAAATTCAGCAGTAATGTAGACGTGCATTTATAAACAAGCACATACAGAAATAAGTAGCGCGAGTGCAAGAAAGAAGGATAGTAGTATTGGAGTTATGTTTTGGGGGTTGGGTACTGACCTCTAAGAACAAAGTTGGAAATTAAAGCGGCACGCCAATAGAGTTTCATGCGTTTGATTTTTTGGTCAGTGGGAAGCTGAGGTGCTGACCACGCCGCCGAACTTGGATTACTATTGGAGCCACCCTCCATCTCTTTCGTTTTCGGCCTTTCTCTGCCTCTTCTAACTCTGAATCGATCAAGTTACCGGTAACTCAGTCGGTTGTAGGTCAATTTCCACTTTAGTTATGAAGTTTAGGGTGTTTATGTGTAGGTTTCTAAACGATAGCGGGGTAAGGTGTCTTTTCGCGAAACCATAAGGGGGTTCCGTGTATTTTACCCATTTTTATATAGTAATTTTTTTGTTCAAACGATAACAGGAATGTAGTAGTTAGAAAATACCAGAATCAGTTCACGTGATACAAATTAAGGGTGCATTTGATAAAAAGTAAAGTTTGAAAATTGAAGTTTAAAATCTAAAATCTGAATCCATTAAATTATTGAATTATTAAATATTAAATTTAATATATTTAATTGCATATCATATTAAATAATAAGTAGATATCTTATCATTTATTTTTTGGAGCAAATTTTGTATAGAAGATTCAGTGCTACTTAATTAATTCACATGTTCAATTTTTAATGATCAAATGTATCTCAACATATTAAGATCTAAATTACTGAATGGATTTATCAAACATGGCCTAAATCTTAACATCTGAAAAGAGGAGTTCCTCAAAAAACAATGCTATTGTCCCCTGTGTGCAACATTACCTGGTGGATAATTTTGTAAATTTAGGGACATTTATGGATGGTATTTTGGTCCCTTAAAAATAAATGGTTTTACAAATATGTTAACACAAGTATTTTACAAAATCCTTTCTCTTCCACAATGTAATTACTAGTTAGCGTCTATGTTTTGAAACTCGGATTGGCCATTGATGCGGTCAAGGTCAGGGGGTTAGGGTCAATGATCGAACCTATCCAAGAATTAGATGGCGTCATCATGATGTCATAAATATATTTAATTTGAAAAATTAATATATTATGTAAAATTTTTAAAAACATATTAATACTAAGAAATGTCGGTTCAATGTATATTTTTTGTTTCTAAGATACTTTGCAAGAAAATACAAATAAGGTAGTATAATTAAGTAGCAATTTATGCAATTTACAATTTAATGCATATTTAACAAGTTTAGAACCAAATTGGAGGGCTTATTTGAAAAGTAATACAAGAATTTAGGGCTATAGCTATAAGTTCTAAAATGTTTCTATAAGTACTCTAAGGGTCAAATCAAAAAATTGATAAAATATTTCTAGGTGAATTTTTTATTTTCTTTTTTAAAATGTTTTATCCCTTTTTTAACTTAGATCTTCCATTGGAGTTGTTTGAGAGAGATTTATGGTAGGATATGTGAAGAGATTTGAGAGTAATTAAAAGAAAGAATCAAAAAAGGAAAACAAAAATGGTAAAAAAGAAAAAGATGGAAAAAATTAAAAAAAGCTAAAAAATGCAACAACGGTAAAAAACGGGACACAACGTTGACGATAGAGATGTTAACTCTTGGTGGCAATTATGTACAGCACATGCGCCATGCCTTTAGTTTTTAAGTGGTCCCCACTACACAGACCACCATCCATCTTTACTCTTCTTTAGATCTTAGACTCTAGTTGAAGCGGTTCTTCCGATTTTCCGATCAAACCCGACTTTTGACCGGATTTGATCGAGTTTTTATTTCACGGTTTTTCAAAGCAACTCAAATCGGATGTCTACTCGATTTTCAGTTCAATCAGCTGAACTGACCGATCCAGTCCGTGCTCCTCTTCTTCTTCTTCTTCACAACTCAAAAGGTAATTATCCATGAGTGTCCATTGAAATAGTTTTGTTGCCTTCTAATTTTGATTGTTTTTTGGCTAAGAATTGGTTTGGAACGCTAAATCCTAAGGTATAACTTCGCCTCCTAAGCTGTTAGGATAAAAAATTGGGATCCAACCAAATACGAAGGTAACACTGGAGTTCATTAGAAATTTAGTGGTACAAATATTGGAGTTTTATTTGAAGTGTGACTACGTATCTGATAAATTAAAAGCGAATATACTTTCTGAGCACAAAGTGAAGATACTCATGTACATAAATTTGGTACTGGTGTTGAAGTTATGGAGATATAACAAAAATTGCTTCAAGTTCCTTGTGTGCGCTATGTGTTTGTTTATATAATCAGCAGTTACATGAGGCCTCATTGTCATAAAATATTATTGTATTTTACAATTGAAGAGAGGGAGAGATAGTTACGAAGCTGAGTAATATGCAATCACGTAATTAATTCTTTTTTTTTTAAATTTTTTTTATAGTGTAAATGGGAGGTCATGAACTGAGTACCTCTCATTTATAAAATACTTGCTCAACTTACAAGTAGTCAATAGTTAATTAATAAACGCATTGTTTCTCATAAAAAAATTTCTTATTTTGTTTCCAAAGCATAGGATCCGTTGCGCAAGATAATAAACTTACATAGTTAGATAGGATAGTGCAAGATTAGAGCTGGCAATTATATCCAAAACCCAACAACCCACCCAACCTACCTACTAATTTGAGAGGTTGGTTTGGGTAAGTTGGAATTGGGTCAATTTTGGGTTGGGTAATAAAAATTCACATATATTTTGGACAGTTTGAGTATTTGTGTTGGGCACCCATTATCCAACTTAAGTTAAAAAAACCAATAAACAAATTAAATTCAAGAAACAAGAAAAGACCAGCGACTATGTAATGAAGCCAAATGTTAGATCAAGCAAAACATCCCTCGGCCAAGTTTTATTCAGCAGACTTGTCCGAGTCTTATCTATAGTTGGCTTCCTATTCGATGGCTTGAGTTTTTCTATAATATATACATATTAGCAGAGTAGAATTTGCAATTTGTGAATTGTTGCAAAGTAATAATTGCAGACATCATATCATATCATATTAGAAATTGGATATTTTTTTTTTTACATTTTTTCAGGTGTACTAATTTAATTATCATGGTGGCATCTTAATGTGCATCCTAGACTATATTGAAGCCAGACCTGATTAGCTAATAAACCCTGAACACAAGCACCAGTAGAATTTTA